ACGCCCAGACACACGCCTGGGGCCGGAGCCTTACCTAGGAGAGGAGGGGGCTGCTGGCGCTCGGACATTTGCTCGCAGCCCCGCTCCTCTCCCCGGCGCTGCTCACCACCTCGTGCTCCGAGTGGCCGCACGCACGCGGAGACGGGCGGCACTCACCCTCTGTCACGGCGCTGCCATTAGGCAGGCTTCCCAGATCAACAGCAGGCCCGTCCAGGAAAATCGTCAGCTCTCCGCCGGAGACAACGCTGCCTTTGTTCTCCGTCTGCAGGTCCAGGGTCAGCTGCCTGTTCTCCACTGTTGAAGATGAGGGGACACAGAGAAAGAGACAAAGTGGTCACCACTGAGGATGCCAGCCATGATGGAAGATGGCTCCACCACCCCAGCTCCCCCATGGGACGCGACGTCAGCCTCCTGGTCCCCTCCAGGCCTCCCCATGCCCCCAAAGGACAACGTGCCTGCTACCTTGGGGCCAGCTGTCCCAGCCAGCACCACTGGCATGGGCCCCACGCCTACACGTACCCACCAGCATCGCCAGAGGACATGCGGCCAGCCCCACCACCCGCTCCCGAGGAAGACCATTGCTCATCATCATCATCAGCCATTGCTCACAACGCAGGGTCCCTCCCTGCGGATGAAGCTGCCCCAGAGCTCCCAGTTGCAACACAGCCGAGATCACCATCGCCCACAGATCCAGAAGCTGGGGCTGTTGCAGAGACCACGGAAGCAAAGCCGAGGGATTCGGGTGGTTTGACACAACGCACGGGGCAAGAAGGGTCCTGCATGAGGGTGACCAATCAGCCATTGCTCACAACGCAGGGTCCCTCCCTGCGGATGAAGCTGCCCCAGAGCTCCCAGTTGCAACACAGCCGAGATCACCATCGCCCACAGATCCAGAAGCTGGGGCTGTTGCAGAGACCACGGAAGCAAAGCCGAGGGATTCGGGTGGTTTGACACAACGCACGGGGCAAGAAGGGTCCTGCATGAGGGTGACCACCGGCAGGTGCCTGGGACATGAACCAGGCTGCTGGCTACGTGCCCAGCGGTGCCTGCAGCCCTGGCCTGCCGCAGAGGAGCAAGCAGCACCTTTCAGAATCGGGGTTATCCTCACACCC